GCTCCACAATCCCCGTTCAGGCCTTTTTTTCTAGTTGGAAACAGTTCAGGGCTGCCTGTGGCTGTTTGGTTTTAATTGGAAACTGTCTCTTTAAATTTCTAGGAGATCTGTGTGCATGCGTAGTAGAACACTCCGAGGGTTCCAGCTCAGGCACCCCTATAGTCACCAGAATGGAGGTGCGCAAATAGCAAGGAACCAATGAACAGATACCAAAAGAAAAGAATGTCCACACCTTCATCTCAGCGGTTCTCCCAGGCGTCTGTGGCCACTCTGATCCTTTCCCCACGTGGTCTCACCCAAGATGGCGGTTCCTGGAGCAGCCGAGCATCCCAGACTAGAAAGCAATAGATTTCTTGCTTCTGCCACAAATTCCCCCAGCTGTGAGCCTTCCAACCTTCTAAGTATTCCTTTATATGTGGCTCAAGAGTTCTGGGACCAACCCTGAGCCTGCTTGGTCGGGTATTCTGTGTTGTTATTGGCAGAGCTCTCTGCTATACATCCACCTGATCTGCCATCTTGTTTGTTCTTACACACACACATAAATTTAAAAGTAAAGAGGAACATGGCCCTCCCCATACTTTCTTGAACTAGGGCCTGGCCCAGCTCCTCCTTGTAAACCCAGATGCTTCCCCGCTAGCCAGCTGGTGTTTTTATAGGGTCGAGTCTTCAGTTCAACAGGTTCCCCTGTATCTTCTGGTTGTTTGTTGGGGTTGCTGGGTCTGTCTCCCTTGAGGACAGTCTCTCAGAAATACTCTTGAGCAGAGGAAAAAGGAGAAAGTCTTAGAGGAGGCTGTCCAGGCCCCCTCCGATTATGGGGCCCACCCAGTATACCCATAGGAAGAAAAATGGAATATTCAGATTTGGGGACTAATACTGTTCTTTTCCATTCCCCTCAATGGAAAATAGCCATCCTGGACTTGGCACGTAAAATTGGGCATTTGTTATTGACGTTATTAAGTGCCGTTGAGTAGTTTCTGACTCTAGTAACCCTGTATAGGATTTCTGAGGAGCAGCTAGTGAGTTTGAATTGCCAGCCTTGCAGTCCTATGTTTATCCTACTGCGCCACACCAGGATTCAAAATCAGGCATTATATAAGTAGAAATCAGTGTTTGTTTGTTTTTTAAGTCTAAGGTTTTCACTGCAGGCCCCTCAAAACTCTTTTTTTTCCCTGATTCATTTGAAGCATCTCTTTATCCCACAACACCTTCTTAGCATATGTATATTCTATTTATTATGACCAATTTTCACTTGTTTATATATTGCTTTGAAAAAATTTGGAATGGTTTTCAAATGTTTGTGGTTTACATATGGCCAACAACATAAACATAGCCACTATTTACTGAGGATTTATTTCACAGCAGATTCTGTGCTCAGGGTTTTACACATACAACTACAACTTGTCCAGTTTTCATAGTGCCCATTTTATTGTTTGCTAAAGCAGCTCACCTTCCAGAATGGGGGAGTTCCTTGCCCAATGTCACCCACAAGACTAATAAAGTGCTAGAACTCAGATGGGGCTCAGGCCCATCAGTGAGCTCAACACATCCGGATTTCAGGAAGGAGAAGTGTTTTTTGTCATGTTCAGTTGTCTGGTCTCATAGTTCTACTTTCAGCATCCAGTTTAAAAAAAAAAAAAATCCCTTGAGTAACCAGAGAAGGAACAATATGAGCAAGAGTTTCTCCTTCTAGCAAAATAATGAATCTTGTTTACAAAGGTGTGCCAAGTTCTCGGACCATCAATGCGTCCAGATGAAAAGTGGAATCAAATCTGGATTTCACAAGCTTTAGGATGTCCTGCTCCCCTCACTCACCCAGTGGTTGGTGAAGTTTCGGGTGAGAATGGCAGGAGCAAAGGAACGGGCAGGGTTCATACCTGCACCAGTGTAATACATCTGCAAAAGACACAGTTGTAACTGAGACACCCTCCTCCCATTCCACCCTAGTTCCTCTCCCCACAACCCACATTACCCCTGAGAACTAGCACCTTGCCTTCAGACTTGAGCAGCAAATGAGGAAGGACAACCTGCATGACTCTTAGAGGATCCCTACATTGCAGTGAGGGCACCAGGGATGCATTAGACCCAAAGGTGTCTTGGTGTGGCACTGTGGGTTAATGCGCCAGATTGCAAAGCCATTTGAACTGCAAAATTGGCGGTTCAAGCTCACCATCTGCTCCTCAGAAACATTATACAGAGTCGCTGTGGGTCAGAATCAACTCGATGGAACTTAACAACAACATAGACCTAAAAATAAAACTTCTACCTTGGAGTCAAGAAGAATTACATATCATAGTCACAGGGAGAGGAATAGAGGACATGGTTGGTTGTTCCATGGTAACTGATACAGAGTAACATGGATAATGTTTATGTTTGACAGTGGGCTAGGCAAGAAACACTGAAAACTCAGGAAAGGTTTGGGGACCCTGGAATTCTTGAATGAGAAGTTGCTCCCATCTTCTGTTTACCCCAAAGAAGTGCCCGAGGGTGAGGGAGAAGCCAGTAGCCAAGGACATGGAGTCCAGATGGCCGTTCTGCTTCTCATCGTATGTGGCTAAGATGCAGAGCACAAACTAGAGTGTCAGGAAGATCTCTACCATGGTGGCCTGGCCCACACTCACCCCAGGATGTAACTGGACAAAGAAAGAGAAAGGAGGCAGCTCATTAGGGCTGCCACCAAGTTACTGCCTCAAAGCTTCTAGGCAGGGTTCCTCTGATGGAGTCAGTTTCCTGGAAAGAAAGAATAATACAATTCCCTTTATAGTAGTTGTGTTACCAGAGTCACTCTGAAGGAGTTGCCAATGCCAGGGGGTGGGGGTTGTAACAAAGGAAGGACTTTATTGTGTCAGCTCAGTGGATTCCTATCCAGATACTGAGAGTATTTTATAGAGAATAGGGGTGCATTCATGAGGCTGCTTGGGATTGGTTAGCGGGGTTGGGGGTGGGGGTTGGGGGAGTTCGGGGAGTGGGGGGGGGCAACAACTTCATGGGTTACCTGGGATTGGGGAAGGATGTGTGAGCATTCAAGCAAGCAGTTACAGAAGAGGAAGCAGGTAAACATTAGCTTGGGGCTCCTCTCAGAGGTGGGTCAGGAGATTAGCCTAGGTAATCACATGAGGCTGAGGTGATCTGTTGCTTAGTTTCTGGAATGTGAACCCTGCCCCAGGAATAAGGTGTGGGCTTGGGGGACATGGGGGCCAGCACCTATTTCCGCAGGACTGCCTGTCTCATTGATATTTGTATCTTAATTTCTTCCAACAATACTCCTTTGAGGTAGATATAACTGCTACACAGATGGGGAAAACTGAGGCCCCCTAAAATAAAATAAGTTTTTCCTCAAGACCCTGCAAGCAGTTAAAAAGAAAACTGGACCTGAATTTAGTTTTTTTTGATTCTCAATCTAGGATTCTGTACCTTCCTTAACCCCTACATTTTTTTTTGTTTGTTAAGTGCCTTCGAGTCGGTTCCGACCCATAGCGACCCTGTACAGGGTTTCCAAGGGTGTAAATCCTTACGGGAGTAGAAAGCCTCATCTTTCTCCCGTGGAGCAGCTAGTAGTTTCGAAACTGCTGACCTTATGGTTCACAGCCCGATTCGTAACCACTACGCTAACCCCTACATAGCATCTTTTTATTCTCCCCACTCTGAAACATACACAGTACATACATCTCAGATCCCAAGGGAACTGGTATGCCCAACAATCCAGCTACCCCAGACAGGAAGTCAGGGCACCAGGTTCCCCCAGCCCCTCTCCACCCAGCATTACCATGTTAAGCACTAGGCTTCCTCTGATGGTTGATGGTGTAACACTATACAACAAAGCAGCTCCAGTCTCGGCTCCCAGGAGCTTGGCTGCCATGTAACAGAAAGCACAGAGTACCGACAGCGGAGAGCGCACAAGGAAGGCCAAAGTGACGGCAGGATTGACATGGGCTCCACTAATGTGGCCCACAGCTTGCACAGTATAGCCAGGCCCAGGCCAAAGGTGATAGCCACCAGCAAGACATGGAGGGGGCCAGGGGACCAACGCAGCAAGGCCCCCAAACTGAAGAAGACATAGAAGAGGGTGGCAAAGAACTTAGCAAATATGGCAGCTGACTGCAATTCCCACATAGTGGTGGGGACCGGTGCAATGCCTGGATTCTGATACCCCCTAGCCTGCTATGGGTGGGTGGTGGTGGTTATGTGCCATGGAGTCGGAACCGACTCATAGCGACCTTGTACAGATTGACGAGGCTGTCAATCTTTACGGGAGCAGAACGCCTCATCTTTTTCCTGCGGAACAGCTGGTAGTTTCAAACTGCTGACCTTGCGGTTTGCAGCCTGATTCGTAACCACTACGCTACCAGAGCTCCTTAGGGGTGGGTAGTCCCCTCTATAAAGAACTCTTAATCCTTGGGAGGGGTAGAATGAGATGACTGGCCTGTCCTCTCAACCCCTTCACAGAAGTGGAGAGCTGAGCCAATTTCCATACCTCTGATACAGCTGTAGCATTTTTCTCTCCCTCTTCAACTAGGAGATAAACAGAGTCCTTTAGGTGGCAGGGTCAGGCTTGAGATGTTAGTCACAACTGGAGAGGTTTGAAAGAGAAAGACCAAAATAGGGAGATGGGAAAAACCTGCCCTTTATGTCAAAGTTGGGGTCAAAGTGCTGACTGATATCTATATTAGAAATTCCTCAGCTCTGCTTGGAAGGTCAGTCAAACTGAGTTCACTAATAGGGCATAGGGCTATGCTCCTGAGGGTCTCTAGGATCCTCTGAATGCCAGGGGTAAGGATGGGGGTAATATAGGAGTGGGGTCTAACAGAGAAGATGGATAACTGAAGAGCATTCATTAGTACTTGGGATTAGAGGGCCTGCTCCCATTGGCTGGTTTGAGCTGGAATCTGTAGATCCTGCAGCTCTGAAATAGAATAGTTCTGCTGTGTCTGGCTTTTGCTGAGTCCAGGGTTCCCCACCCCCAACCCATGCCAGCTTTGCATTTTAGACTACAGACAGACAGGGAGAAGAAGCTATCAGAAGAAAGAAGCTATCAAATGCAATGAGGGTGGAGTGGGGGTGCAGGGGAAGGGCAAAGGGAACAGTAGTTAAATCTCAGAATCACCTCATAGTTCAACCGAACTCACAAGGCCATAGCAGGCTATAGTGAAAGGAAGCAATGAAATGGGAGGGCCTAATGCCCCCTAGGAGTCTGGGTGTGGTGCTGTCAGATAAGCACTGTACTGCTAACTGCATGGTTGGTGGTTCAAACCTACCAGCCACTCCTTGGAAACCCCACACAGGGTCGCTATGAGTCAGAACTGACTTGACAGCACTTAATAACAACAACAACAATGCCCCCTAATATGACTGTGACCAAGACATAAATCCTAAACTCCAGATCTTTTTCCAGGCCCTGAGGACAGTTCCCCTAGTCCCCAGGGAAAGTGGGGAAGCAGGCTGGTCAAGGAAAGAAAAAATGGATGAGTTGGGGAAGGAAAGCTTGGGGAAAGGGAGTTCAGTTGTACTCAGGCTTGGTGAGAGACTTCCCACTAATCTCCCACCTCTCTTTTCTTAGCCCTCTCCTTTTAAGAACTCTCCAGCCAGATCTCAGCCTTATAATTCTGAGTCTGCTCACCCAGAAGCACCAGATCCAGGGAGAAGGACTAAAAGAGAGAATAAGAGAGTTTCCAGAGGATAAGCCACCACTTGGTTGGACTGGGATGTAGCAGTGCAGAAGAGGAAGAGTATGGGGTTCCAGTAGGAAAAGGATAGACTCCAGATAAAAAGATGGTGATTCCTCCATTCCTCAGGAATCTTACCTCTCAGATCACCATTTTGCTGGCCTGCTTCAGAGTCTCTGTTGGGTATCCTCCACCAACTTGGGGAGTGCTAGCCTAGGTCTAGGAGAGTGTCTTAGCCTGGGTTCTCTAGAGAAGCAAAGTCAGTAAAACCTATATATGTATATGTATAATGAAAAGTTTCTGCCAAGGAAACGGCTCACAATTGTAGAAGTGGAAGAGTTCCAAGTCTGAGTCAGATGAACCTAGATTGGCAGGCAGATAGGCAGTCAGGCAAGTCATAGAGCAGACCACTGGCTCAAATCCAAAGAACTGGAGATTGTAAGACAAGCCAGATACAAGATCCAGACCCAACAGGAAGCAAATAAGCTTTTCCTGAGTGTCTAATTATTGGAAACAGGCCACATCCCCGAGGAAACATCCTTTCAACGGACTGGCTACTCATAGTCAATCATTATAGAGTTAATTGCACTGTATTAGATCTCACCATGGGGATAACCACAGCTCAACTGACAAACCACTGGGTATCCTGGCCTACTCAAATAGACACAAAGTCTTAACTATCACAATGAGTAAAGTTGGGAGTAAGTGGTTCAGGTATTTCCCTTGAAGAAAGATGCCATCAGAGAGATGAGAGCTCCACTCCTCTGACTGGGGAACACCTCCTTTCAGGCAACATAGAACAGTCTCATCCCCTCATTTTCCACCCTCACCCCAAGTCAGTAACCACCTCAAGGGTATCTTAGACACTTACACCATTCTCATTTGTAGGTATCTATCCACCCCAGCCTTCCTCTTTCTTATTCATTAGTTTTCTAATCCAGATTCATTGGATGGGGAACAAGAGCTGAAAATGGCTTCTGTAAACCAGAAATTCTGACATTGAAGGTAGAGACTCATCCTCCTACTCCCTACTCATCTTTATGAACTTGGGTTTTGGGAGAGAAAGAGGAAAACCAGTAAGGATCTGGAAGACAATGAGAAGAATCCCAGGTAAGGCGAAACAAAGACATCTCCACTCCTCACCAGAAACACATGTAAACCAGGAAGAAGGTACCAGTGTTGGGTTGGCAACTGGCTCATTGGATTCTGAAAAGGAAGGCACCTTTGGAGAATTGCCGGGCTTTGCAGGGGAATCCTAGGGCCTAACAGTCTTGGAATTACCCAGAACATAGCCCAAATCATCTTTGTCTTTTTTCTGGTTAGTTTGTTCCCTCTCTATTCCTTTTTGCTATTTGTATTTCATTCTTATATTTGGGTTTCATTTCAAAAGTTACAAAATTTTTTTTACCTGTAGATTCTCCACTTTTCTTTCCTGTTGGCCTTAAGAAAGCATGCAAAACATTTTTAGTGTTTTTTCTCACTAGAAACAATAGAAGTGTTAAAGACTTCATGAAATAATATGGAGATATTTACAAAGTTACTGTAAGTCTTAATGGCTTTAGTTGTCATCATCCTGGAGTTGATCTCTATATTTGACTTTTTTTTTAAGTGAAGCAGTCAATGATATTTAATTATAGTCACTATAAGAGCTCTGGTAGTGTAATGGTTATGAATCAGGCTGCAAACCGCAAGGTCAGCAGTTAGAAACTACCAGCTGTTCCACAAGAGAAAGATGAGGCGTTCTGCTCCCGTAAAGATTTACAGCCTTGGAAACCCTGTGCAGGGTCGCTATGCGTGAGAACTGACTCCACGGCATATAACAACAACAACAACATGTTATATTACCATCGGTGGTGGTGGTGGTGTGCCACTGAGTTGGTTCCAATTCAGTGTATAGGGTTTCTGAGGCTGTAAATCTTTATGGATGCAGAAAGCCTTGTCTTTCTTCCATGGAGCGACTGGTAGATTCAAACTGCTGACCTTGCAGTTAATAGCCCAGCTCACAATCCACTATGCTATCATTGTTGTTGTTGTTAATTGCCATTGAGTTGGTTTCAATCCATAGTGACCCTATATAGGATCTCTGAGGAGCGGCTCATGGGTTTGAACCACCTTAGTACTATCTATTTCCAAAAGTTTTACATTATCTCAAATAGAAACTCAGTACTCCTTCAGCATTTCCTGTTCTTTACAACCCCTGACAACCCCCACAAAAAAAGATAATGAAAAATTCCCACAAACTTTTTGAAGTCCCATCATATATAAACCTGATGTGGCACTGTGGTGATGATGCACTGGACTGCAAGGTCGGTGTTTTTCAGTGTATAGTTTATTGACATCAGTTACATTAATTGGTTGTGCAACTCTTAGCCTTAGTCAATGTGACTTTCCCATCACTGAAAACAGAAACTCAGTGCTCCATGAACTTTGTTTTTTCCCCCTGCACCAGTAACCACATACAAATTTTGTTCTCTACACACTTGCCTGTTCTTTTGACTGAGTTATTTCTTGATTAGTGATGATCAACTAACAAACTATATTCCTAGGGGCAGTAGTCCAAAATGTACTCTTCCCTTTAATAAGGAAGGCTGCATTTCTCAGTACCAGAGAGAATGATACTACTAAGGATAATCCATATTAACAGGGAGCAAGGGAATCTACAGATCTCAAGGACTCTCCAGGCAGAGATATTTGTCTTATTTCATCCCTCCATAAGACATATGGACATTAACATAGTGATCTCTGAGGTTGTCCAGAACTCACTCATCACCTTCCTGAAGCTACTCCTTTGCCAGCCCAGATCACCAGGACCTAAAGAATAACCACTGCCCTCCCACCTCCAAAAAATAAAAAGAATAACCCAGGTTTGAGTTCCATAAAATTACCTGCTTTACTGATCTTATAGGGTTATATGAAGATCAAATAAGATATATGCAAGCAAGGTAAGCAATAAATTGGTCACCTTAAATCAAAATATAAATGAATTGATTCATGAATTAGTCAAATACTGTAAGGTAGTAAATTTTGTAATGTCTCTTCTAGCTATAGTCTTTGTAAACGCCCATCAAAAATTGTGTTTGCTCTGCTGGGTCTGGGTAGATGATGTGGGGGAGGATGCCTATGGATTAGATGATTCCGTTGCAAGAATTGTAAAAACTTGGAATGCTAATGTGTATAAAATGAGCCATCTCAGAAGCAGGAAGGGGGATCTCACAACCATCAAAGAAGAGGCAGGAATGGAGTACATCTTTTGGATCCCGAGATCCTTGTGCAATGAAACTCCTCAACCCAAGGACAAAAAGTTGCAACACTGTAGAAGTGGCAAAGGAACAGCAATAGCAGAACCAAGAGCCACAGCACAAGACACAGTGGAGGCCTTTCCAGCCCATGTTAAGGAAAGCTGAGTAACTTTGGGCAGCAGGCTTTACCTGCACAGTGGGGGAGGGGGGC